GGGATGCGGGGCATAGAGGACCTACAATAATGAACAGTATTTGAAAAATATTGTGTTTTTTTAACATTAAAGCATGTCAACATATTCTGTTACACCAAATACACAAAATAATGATCTTTAAAAAAGCATTTTTTAACCTTTAAGCTTTACTATCAATTTGGAAGTTTCAAAATACATCTTATTGTAACGTTACTTGTACAATGACAAAGATATTCTGTTCAATTAGCTCATGCTCTCTCTGTATCTAACAAGCCATTCTTCAGTAATAAATTCAATATAATAATTGATGGACTTTGTCAAAGATGAGAGCTTTAGTGAGGAAATGTTGTTTTGGAGAGGTTTTTTGTTTTTTACCATTGCTCCCGATCTTTTCCAGATGTTGAAACTCCTCAGTTTCTCCAATTCTTCTGAGTGTGTTCACTGTATAAATTAATATGGATTAATCTTTGTCAAAGCTGTGTTTGTTCTGTTGTTTGCTCTTTCACCTCTTCTTGCGCTGTTTTAAAATCGATAGAGTTTGTAAAAACATACAAATGATAAAACTTTTACTCTATTCAATTTTGCAATTAATCCTCTGAACACATGCGTGCTGAACCATGGGCCTAGTCACGGATCACTATCAACTACGATCTGCTCCCTTCACTAAAATGTCACGGTTCCTAAACATGATAAACGTCTTCAAAACTTCACCACAAGGTCCATTTACAGCATGCATCCGAAAATTAATCGAAACAGCCACAGAAAAAAGTTATATACTATAAAGTATGACAACAAATTCAAGTTTCAATATAAGATAATAAAGCCAAGCACACATTAAGTACTTAGCAGATAAATGCTTAACGTAATATATACGATAATTATCAAACATATGATAGCAAAAACATTACAGACTACTCACCGTGCTCTCTCGTTGTCAATAACTCCGCCCCTCACTTCCGGTTCTGTGGCTGCGGTTCTGTGGCTGCGGTTCTGAAACTGCTGGTGCTGCGGGTCTGCAGCTGGATATATCGCACTACTTGTGGGTTCAGGTTGGAAAATGCGCCCCCTTGTGAACCACATTGACGCCGTCGTAAGTGTTTTTAAAAGGAGCTTTAAAATACCCACATCAGCAAAGGTGCCGTTATTATTTTTTCAATCACATTATTCACATTTTCAAAATATAGGGAACGTTACATCATTTATTATTATTTGTGTGCGTGAATTATATTTAATAGTACACAATTCAGTCAAAATTAAGCATTATTTGATCAGTCAGATTTAAACCTGACAGTTTAAAACAGTTAAACTGATTTTTTTTTTTAAATACTATCTGTAGTTTGAATCGAAACTTGAATATCCAAACATACATAATAAAATATAGCTATAATAAACCTAAACATACATGTTAATACATCTGTTTAAATATGATATAACACATCAAACATGACTGTGTGAATAATTGAGCACTGTGATTGGTTAACCGTTTTCGTCAAGCGGTGCTCGGCGCGCGCGGGCTTCACAAGCTAAAGCGAAAACCTTACTGAAAATATATATTTTTTTCCTTTCTCAAATGGGGTATTTATTGTCCACAGTAAAGTTTGTTCATATCTATAGCATTGTAACTCACACCACACCATCCAGCCAAGTCAAGACGATCGAGAAGGTAATTCTAGCTTAGTTTTGGCTGATAGCAAAATACTGCAAGCGCAAACTACAGGCTAGAATTAACGTAAACCTCTTATGATTGTTAGAAATAGTAACCTTCATGCTTTATTCACGGTAGCTACGTTTGAGAAGTGCAGTATGATTGATGAATGACTACTGTACTCACTTGCAATCAGGACACAGACAGATGGAGCTGGAGGACAAAAAGTGAGCACAGTACGAACAGATGACATGGAGGTGAGTGAAATATTAGAACAAATGTTGGATATTCATCCAAACGTGCAACCTTCACGAATAATGCCAAATATTTCAAACATGAATTCACATTTATAAATTCCTGAAATATATCTTTAAAAAGATAAATGAAAATGTATCTAGAAATATATCTTTCTTTAAATAATGAAGTTTTATTGTGTCTTTCTTCCAAAGTAATCAACTCTGCAGCTAATTACTTTGTCCTCTTCTTTAATAAACCAAAAATAGTTTTATAAGACAAATTATACTACATGGTTCCACTCCTCCATTAACTTCCATCTTTAAATCCTTAATTAAATGGTTCAAATATTACTGTTGTTCTAAAAACACGAAAAGGAAATAAATCTTAAATATGTGGTTGTATCTAATTCATCCATCATCATTGCACTTATGATTTTAATAGAGAAAAAAAGAAAACTACAACCATTATCTATAATATACAATTGCAATATATCTTCCAGTAATAATAATAATAATAACTAATATCAACTTACCTCAGAAAGAACATTTAACTGTTGGCTGTGATCATTTTTTCTCGAAATATATAAATAATTAAATTGGTTTGTCCTAAGAAACCAGCACTGCATCAATTTATTTTTATGATTCATCATCAGTAGGTGGCGCTAGTGCAACAGCTAGTCAACAGCCGAAAAATGTAACGTTTCTAAAAGTGAAGACAATGCACATTAACAAAAATGAACAAAAAGACAGAAATTAGATTACTAAAGTGCTGTAGAAAATATAACAGAAATACTAATTATTTTAATACTAATAGTAAGTCTTGCCAACAAGCACACACTCTGACCCCTCCATCAGATATTGTACATCTAACTCTATATACAAATACACCCTCCAAAGCATCTAAAACACATTGATGGCATTGACAACAAACAGCTCATTTACTACAGCTTTGTGTCTTTAGTAGAGTAGAGAACATTCTCTCTCTCATATATACACTTCCTTCACTCCTTTTCTCCCTCGTGTGTCTTTTAGACACCTCCTTTTTTCTAGTTGCCACAACATCATCAGTAACCCAGGAAACCCATTGAAACAAGAAGGACCCAGGAAATGAAGTAATGGTTCAGGAATGTTGGGAGACAAGAGTTTCCCCCACAGCTGAAATCCCCCTCTCCAGAGGAGAATAGCAAACAGAGTAGCTCTGTCTGAAGCCACATGAGGTCAACAGTCCTTGGACAACAACAAAACATTACCCATAACACAACAGAATGCATGATCTAATTACAACCTATATCTATGTAAAAATCTCTACTAACCTAATAATATATAAAACAGAGACAAACAGAAAGTTGTCTGAATATGTTCATTTGGCAAATGCAGTCATATAGGTTAACAGGACCAAAAAGCTGTTTGGCAATAAGAACTTCAATAGGCTGTGATGGTAACCTGTTGGGCCTTCAGTGAAGTGTTAAAATCAACATAATTGATTAGATTGAGAAAAGTGTCCATTTCATACCAAAGTGTAGCCCGACCTGAATGTGAGTTTGCAGTCAATCGTGAGGAACTAGTCCCTTGTTGAAACCATTAACCACCGTTAAATTACTGCATTATCTATTGGCAAGATTAAAACAAACCAAAACAATATTACTTAAAATAATTGCTCAAAACCATTTTACAAACTGTTATTTGAGGCTCTCCAAAGCGTCCTGGCCAGGATTTCTATATTGCCTTGCTGAAGGTAATGATCAAAAAGTAGTTTGACCAATAACATGCAGGCATTGTACATAATCGACCAATCGTGGCACGTGAGAAGGTGGGATCTCCAGCGAACAGTCAAAACGATCTAAATACGTGTACATATTAGGTGTGTTCAACTTTGAAACAAAGTAAATATAGTTTTCATGTTGACTAAGTAGTTGAAATCCTACAGGCATGTAATTAATAAAATACCATGAATACATAAATATGTCTAAAGTTTAAATACTTTAAAAAAAAAAAGGTATGATTGTTGAAGCAAAATTATAGGTGAGAGTTTAAGCTACAAAGAAACCCAAACTCTTCAGGAATGTGCTTGCGTACTGAAGACTCAAAATTACTGCATTCAGAAGGGATAAGCTAGAACACAAGAGACCCAATTAGAAGGCTTATAGGATACATTTGTAAAATGCAGGTATTGCTATTGGACAGCTTAGTGTTTTCTATAATAGTTTGGGATAGGTGATTGATATTGGTCTTTAGTGCACATGCTGGGTTGAATAGTGCTCAGACTGTCAGTGATGTGTCTCCAGTTCCACCACAGTCCAGTCACCCTGCGGGGAGCTGGCCAGGCTGCTGGGTGAGTAACTACTGACAGAGGCCACTGTTGCGGTGGAGCAGTCGAAGTGGGACATGATGTGTGGCCACATGCTGCTCTCTAGAGGGCTGAGGATGCCCCCTCCCTGCCCAGGTAGGTACAGGATCGGAAGACAGCCGTCCTCCCCAGGTAGAAGCATAGCCTGGTTAATAAGCTGCTGGACCATGTCCAGTTTTGTGTTCCAGTCTAGTTCCTGTGGAGGTGGTCGGCGAAGGTTTCCATTGGCCACTCTAAGCGGTAGGTCTGTCGGGATGGAATGGCCTGTCTGGTTAGGGGAACCTTGGTTGGTGGTAGATCCGTTTTCTGCATCCCCCTCTTCCTCCTCGCTGGTCTCCATGGCCTCATAGATGGTGCAGAGTCCAGATGAATGTGACTGGAGACACGGTTGCCCTTTCACCTGCCTTTTCACCTGTGACTGATGTTTGAGTCTCTGTTGCTGCTCCATCTCAAGCTGCCGTTGCAGGAGCTGTCGGCGGAGTCGGTGTTCCTGCTGCTGCTGTTGTAGTTGCAACTGAAGCAGCTCTCGACGTTGCCTCTCCAATGCCCTTTGCTGCTCCTGCCACTGCCTTTCTTCCTCCAGACACAGCCATTGTAGCCGTTCCTGTTCCTGGCGTTGCCGAATGTGCCGCAACTGCAGCTGGTGCTGCTCTAGCCTTCGCAGCTGCACATTAGGCACCGATGGAGTCGGTGGGACCCTCAGAGGAGCATCAACATGTTGAACATTGATACGAAGCTGTGGCTGCTGCAGTTGCTTGTGGGTGTTTGGCAGAGGGGCAAGGTACTTATTGTCATTCAGCTCTTGGGTTAGCCTTGGATAGTTACCATTCTCCTGTTGGCTTAGTGAAAGCTGGTGCTCACCAGTCTGTATAGTGTTCCTGGGTTTCCCTGTGGACAGTCAAGAGCACTTGCAACATGTGTTTACTGACAGAGGCATTCGTTATGAAGAAGGGTGTGACCAAAAAGGAACAGAGGAAAAGCACAGACAGAAAGAGAAACATGCAGACAATAAAAGAAAACATAAACCAAAGAACAAATTAGACAAAACTCTTAATGAAGTAAGGAATCAAGTTTTCCCACACATCTTTCCTGTAAACACGTCAGGATATTTAAAAAAAATTGTAACCATCACGTAAGGAATATTCTGGGTTTAAAGGTGCAATAGGTGATTGTCTTCAGAAACATTTTTTATGCTGGTTGAAAGTCTCTTCACATCCCGATAGCAATCATTAAAGGGGTCATATGATGCTTTTTTAAAGATCATTATTTTGTGTATTTGGTGTAACAGAATATGTTGACATGCTTTAATGTTCAAAAAACACATTATTTTTCAAATACTGTACATTATTGTAGGTCCTCTATGCCCCGCCTCTCTCAAACGCTTCGTTTTTTTAAAGTTTTCTCACCGGTGAATGACACATGATGTAGCCCAGCGGTTCCCAATTCCAGTCCTCACGATTCAGATAACCAGCTCGTTAGAAGTGAGCTACGTGCATGAACTGTGTTCCGATCGATATGATCCCTGCACAGTGTTCATTGCTCCCTCCTCCCTGAGCAGGGGAAATCCGTTGAAGTTTACTTCACTTCGGAACATGGGCTGGAATTGGGAACCGCTGATGTAGCCTATTGTAATGTTGTCTGTGGTATTTTGGTCTGTGAGCGTAAATGCGTTCAGGGGGCGTGGCTTTGTACGGCGATTGCAGGGAGGGTGGGACGTTCGCTTTCAGTGCTATCAGGCTAAAGTTAGCATTTTCTAAGATCTCCTACTGCACCTTTAATATGTTAAGATCCGTCTACTGCATCTGTGGTGTGCTGTTGATTATGAAAAAAAAAATTCTACTGGCATTTAAAAACAAAAATGTATATGGGACAAGTGGTCATCTGCTGCCAGAGAAGCTGTGGAAAGAGCTTGTATTTAACTTAAAATATTCCTTTCAAGTAATATTTAGTATACAATGTTAAAACAGAAAATCAACAGATTTAACCAGTGAGAGCCCACCAGTGAGATTTACCAGAATAGTTCAGCACTTCTGATTAAAAATATTTTAGCGGTGTAAAGAAATTCACCAAATCTTTTTTTTCACACAAGAGCTTGTGTGTTATTTGGGACTAAACAATCCAAAAAAATATAATGTGAATAAAATAATGATTGAATGATTGAATAATGATTGAATTCCATTAACATAGGACATTTTTAAAGGGTAGATGATACATGAATACATACATCCACAAAAGGTGTTGATGACCTAAACTTGCAAATTTAATTAAAATTATTTTTCTCAACATACCCCATCTGCCACATATGATTTTACATAACAGCATAAACTAGAGTTCAGAGTACAAAGGACCTGAAACAGATATGTTTCAAAGCAGAGACGAGGAGATAAACTGATAGACATTCACTACATCAAGAATAAATTGTACTTTGGCTAATTTACCTCCAAATATTTTGGATGTAAAATGACTATTTTTGATGGCAGGTGGGTGAAACAAGGAAGGAAGTGAAGAGGAGATGAGATGAGATGAGATTCCATACTGAGAAGAGGAAAAACAAAAAGAAGATTCTCTGGCACACCCAAAACCAAATTAACATTCTGGGAGGATTTGGAATTTTTGTGTTGAGTTTGTGTTTATGCTTTAATGCATAATGATGACAAAAGGTATTTCTTGAAACCCATTAACCAACTCCTTGAGATACCATGCAACCTTGTTGTGCTGGGCTTTCAGGGTGGGGTCCTGTTGTTGAGTTTAGGGGTCATGACATGCTTTAGTAAAGGGGATCATAGACAATGAGCACTGACTGTCATTTCATCAAACATACATCTGGAATAAACACCATTTCAGTAGATATCTGTTCAAAATCAAATACCACAGGAGCACTCAGACGAGAACAGACCATCAAGCCACTCAACATAAAAAACAAACAAACAGGAACAGACAGCATTGCAATGATGTTTAATGGAATTTTGGGAAAAACCTTTTAGTTATTGTGAATCATTAACGTCCAAACATCCCTGGATCATGTCTGGATTCATAGCAAGAATCATTTCTTAATTAGTTGCACATGCACTTCCAATTCTTGTAGAAATGTCCCAGTACTCACAGTACACTAACCTGCGAGCATCATTTTAAGATTTACAAATGCAGGAAAACACTTCAATTTTCATTAATAGAAATAGTCTGTTCCGAAGTACAAATGTCTAACAACTGTAAATGAAAGAATCCAGATCAATCTGATCCCAGTACTTTAAAACACTTAAGTTACGTGCCAATGAGAATCTATGTTATCCTTCACAAAAATGGGCAGCAGTAGCTCAAAACTAACAAAAGACAACCAAAAATGACGTATGACTTGCCATCTAACACTCATTCACCTCCCTATGTCAAACACTGTGAGAGTGAAAAGCTTCTGAAGAATATTTAACCTGTATTTAATGCTAAAACAGTTAGTGCTGGAACACGTTTTAAAAAGAAAGCTGGAATAAGTTTTAAAAGATAGTAAAGCTACTTTTACAGTGCAGGAAAACTGATGTGTGTACAAACATTAAGGAAAGACAGGGATATTAACAAATCAAAAAACAGAAAAAAAAACTAAGTACAAAAAAATGACATTTGATTGGTAAAAACAGTAGGATAAATACAAAGGTAGTTGGAGTCCACCAAGTGTGTTTATTTTTTTGCATTTTTGTCCTTTCATTAAAGGACATCAACTTAACTTAGACTAACATAGCAGGTTCAGGGGTGCCATGAAACGCAGTGTTATTTAAAATACATTCTAATAGAAAATGAGAATAGCTACTGTACATACAGAAATTTAAGCCATACAATCATAACCATCACCATGGTAATAGAAGAACAGAGAGCAGCTCAGACAAAGCTACTATCCCTCACCTGATGGCTCTGCTTTTCTTTCCCCCTTCTATTACATATTTCTATTTATTTCTTTGCTTGTTAACCCCACATTTGGAAGAAATGAAGGACACAGGGTGGGAGAGTGGGGTTTGGGGTAGACAAGGTGCATTCCAAAAGAGGGACTTTATACGTTACCTGCCAGAAAGTTATCAGTCTTATCACATATAGTAGAGTAGTATGGTGGCTGACGGTCAGAATCGTCCCCATGTTGGGGTGATAGGTGCATAGGGGACTCAGGATCCATTTCCTCCATCGCGCCTGGGTCTGTCTTACTGCACAGCATGTAGTGCTCGTCAAACCCAGCATCCCTCTCTGTGGGCTCGCTGATAGGCAGCAAATCCACTGGGCAGCCCAACAAGTCATCACTGTAGGCGGTAGCTGCTGGCAGGGTGAGCTCCTTGATGAAAGAAGGATCCTTGGCCTCTTCCGGAAGCTGCTCTTCATTTTCCAGGCTAAAGATGCCTGGACTCTTTCCACAGCTTTCAGCCATAGAGTGGGCATTGGAGATGGATGCGGAGCAGTCAAAACCGTAGGAGGCCACAGAGTTGGCTGACTGAGGCGTATCACCATCTTCCTCTCCAGTCTGTTCAGGAGCCTCCTCATCTTCCTCCAGGGCAGTGAGGTTGTGGGGGACTGTGGCATTGTCATCAACTGCAACATCAGGGTCATTGATTTGCATCTCACCCTCTGTATCACTGGCTTCATCACCGGAGGTTGATGGTGATGATGGTACAGAGGCTGGTGCTGTTGCGGCATCACCCAGTACTTCGTCAGCTGGCAGCGTTTCTGCCTCTTCCTCCTCCCCATCACCTCGCTCAAGGTGAATACCTAGGTCCTGCTCCATGTCTGTATGCATGGCAGGGACTGGCGTCTGCTGCTTGTCTGATCGGGATTCTACACCTGAGCTGCTGTCATAATCTCGAAGCTCTTCAGGTGTGCTGGTCTCACTGCTGCTATGGGCAGCCAGGGCTGTTCCACTGAGGGTGCTGGACTGGGACATTCCAATGGCAGGAGGAGCCAAGATACCCGACTCCACTGGGACTGAGATACCTGTCTCCTCTTGGATGTCAGGTTGAGGTTCTAAGGTCTGAATCAGGGGTGGACTTGTGTCCAGAAAAGTCTCAGATGGGGATGTGGGTGGTGTACCTGGTTTAGCTGAGAATGTGGTGATTGTGTCTAGGTCGGCTTGGAATTTGGTGAGTGTGTCTGGATCTTGAACTCTTGAATCTGACAGGTTTGATTCAGACAGGGCGAAAGAAGGCTGGGCCCAGGGATCAGAGAATGGATTGGAATGACTCCATGCTGCTGTCAAAAGCATAGATGTTGCTTGAGCAGTGTGACCCATGCTGTTGAGAACTAGATCACTCTCATCTCTGTAATCATCATCATCTTCATCTTCATTACCATCATTTGTACGAACCCCAAGTCCACACTCAGCCATGCCTCTGCGGACCATCTCCACATCTTCACCTGCTTCCTCTAAGTCTTTCTGTTGTTTGAGATGTTCATCATCATGCTCTAATGCCAGATCTATGTCTTCCTTCAAATACTCTTCTTCCTCATCCTCTTCCTCATCTTCACTACCAAATGACTGGATTCCAGGAGGCCCTGTGAATGGTTGTTCCCTGTCTGCCTCGGTTATGGTGAAGTCATCTGTATCTTTAGCACTGCAGCTGTCTTCAGCATTAAAAGGAGATGTCACTTCTGAGTCATGTTTGTTACTGCTGTACATGTCATCTGATTGCATCATACCCCAGTCAGAGCTGGCAAAATCTGCCACCCCCTTTTTAAAGTCAACTTCTTTCTCTGTTTGGGACACTGATTCCTTTATGCCAATCTCTTTTAACTCTTTTTCCTCCTCCTCCTCCTCTTTCTCTTTCTCCTCCTCCTCCTCATCATAGTCTTCATTAATCTCTTCTTCAGCTTTCTCCACTGCCTCTTCTCGTTCTTGCAAGGGGGAGACAGGAGCTGCATTTCTGATGTGATCCCCACTAGTGGAGCCCATCAGATCAAAGTCTTCGATCACATTCTCTGCAGTATAAGGTATCTGTATATCATCCTGACCTTTTTCATCATCCTGTTCACTTTCTTCATCATGCACTCTTTCCATATCCTGCTCCTGGTTCTCTATGGTTGCAGAGCTGGAGTACAGTGAAGAGCTCTGTGCCCATGGTTCAGATGGACCCTGTGTGCTCAGGAAGGGAACTGAACTTGGGAGCTCAACTGGCATGGATGTTGGGCCGGTGGGAGAGGATGGTGGGGACATTACTGTTGTGCCCAGGGGAGACACAGCAGACACTGGCTCCTCTAGACTGACCAAGTCCACTTCAGCAGCCAGCTGAGACATTACATTGTCATCTTTAGAAGTGTCCATGCTCTGGGGGACATCCTGGGGATAGACAAGCTCCGCCTCATAAGAAGTAGGAGAAATAACAGGTGTAAATGTGTCTTCGGGTTCGTCTTCAAAGGCTAGAGGAATGACAGATGAAGTTGTTTCTATAGGTGCCTCATAAGAGGTAGGGGGAATGACGGATGCAGTTGTGTCTTCAAGTGTTTCTTCAGAAGCAGGAGGAATGACAGGTAAAATGGATTCTTCAGGTGCCTCATAAGAGGTAGGGGGAATGACAGCTGTAGTTACATCTTCAGGTGTTTCTTCAGAAGCAGGAGGAATGACAGGTGAAACAGTTTCTTCTCGTGCCTCATAAGAGGTAGAAGGAATGACAGATGTAGTTACATCCTCAGGTGTTTCTTCAGAAGGAGTGGCAGGTGAAACAGTTTCTTCTCGTTCCTCAAAAGGGGTAGGAGGAATGACAGATGTAGTTACATCTTCAGGTGTTTCTTCAGAAGGAATGACAGGTGAAACAGTTTCCTCTCGTACCTCATCAGAGGTAGGTGGAATGGCAGACATAGTTCTGTCTTCAGATGTTTCTTCAGGACTGAAATGTGTAACAGAGTCTTCAGGTGATCCCTCAGAGACAGGAGGAATGACAGGTGTAACTTTGTCTTCAGGTGCTTTCGTAGTGATAGGGGCAATGACAGGTTTGTCAATTTCTTTTGAATCCTCTTTAGAGTCCTCGGAGGAAGCAGGAATTGGAGTTGTAAATGAGTCTTCTAATTTCACCTCAGAGGCAGCAGGATTGACCTGGGTAAACAATTCCTCAGGTGCCTCTTCAGTGGCAACAGGAACAAAAGCTGTGGCTAAGTCTTCAGGTGCTGCCTCAGAGGTCACCATAGAAACAACAGCAGCAGCTGCAGTAGTGGCTGCAACCATAGCGGGTACCATGTCCTTTTTCTCAGCCTCTGTAGCTGCTGCGTCTGCAGGCTGGGAGGCTTTTGGGCCACCCTTCAATGGCTTTGGAGTACTACTGCCAACTGACTTCTTTGGGCTGCTTGTTTTAGTGCTGGGCTTGCTGCCTGTGGTCTTGGGGCTTGCGTTGACCTCCTTGGAAGGTGTTGCTTTGCTCTCCTTGGGTTTACTAGTCTTAACATATGCCCCCTTACTGGAGGTGGTGGGTTTTTTGGAGGCTGATTCTGCCTTGGCAGTGGAGGCTGACTTAGGGGTGTCAGGTTTGGTGGTCTTAGTTGGTGCTGGCCGGGTAAGTGGAGAAGAAGTGGGCTTCTTGGCTGCTGGAGCAGATGACTGCTTACTGACATCTAATGAAAAGAGAACATATAATTCCAACTCAGTATCACAGCTTCAAATAGAAATTAATCTAAGCATTAATACAGGATTAATACTGTAAATTAAATATAAGTATTTTATGAAAATAAAATACAATTAAAAATGGAATATATAAATATTTACCATACATAAAATATCAGTATTCACGTATTACAACACAATATTAGTGTTAAAATAGTTACAAATAAACTATATGCATGTGTTTATTATTCCATGAGATACCCACCTTTCTTGACAGGTGTTGTGGTCTTAGGAGTGGGAGTGCGGCCAGCAGGGGGAGCTGTGGTTTTAGCAGGAGAGGGTTTAGCAGTAGTAGATGGTGTCTTGGGTGTAGCAGTAGTTGGCCTAGATGCAGCTGTAGATGTCTTGCTGGCAGTTGTCTGTGTCCCAGGCTTAGGGGCAGCAGGGGAAGAACGGGCAGCAGGAGCAGAGCCAACAGACCTGCACATAGCAGATGTGACAAGAAATTGAGAAATCATTACAGAGGAAGACTGCGTCAAATCCTAATAACAGGTATGATGAGTAATTAAAAAATGTTCAGGTCTGGCTGCTCCTAGCTTGCGCAACTCTCCGTTGAGCTTTTATGTCCAGCTAGGACAAGGACCTCCTGCATTTAAAAAAGCAGAAGAAAGCTGGAAGAAAAGATCACATAGAAAAGTCCTGATATTAGTGTGTATGGGTTAAAACTGCACTCTCCACTTCTTCTGACATTTCAGTTATTGGTGATAGGTCATATATCCCATTTAAAGCAGTGACTCATGAGTCAAAGCTTTGATTAGTCACAGCACAGAAGGCCTGAAGGATAGACAGGTAGCTCAAGAACACAACATGGAGTTATGTTAACACTAGCAAAAACATTCTTTTCAAGAAATCCCCTTCCCTCAGTTATATACCCATAATGCCTCTGTTCTATCCTGGGGTGCCTGACTCAGTGGTAATACACATGTTCTACCCTGACGGGGTCTAATATCTGTCCACTCTGGTCTAGTATGAGCTCAGCTTAGCACACGGCAGTGACTCAGTACATGTCCAGGTCAAGTCTGAGTAAGATAACCTAGATCCCGTTGGCCTGGCAGGAGCTTTTGATTTCCTCTGTCTACGCTCCACTGCATGTGTCTCTCCTGTTCTAAATAAAGAGCTGACGAGCACGAGGCAGGGTGAGTATCAGTGCAGAAGACACAGTGAGCACCATTTAAATCTTTCATTGTGTTGAGTAAAAATAACCATGCAAATCCCATTTGGGCAAACAGCATGGATCTTGCTAAAACACATGCTCCATAAGTTCCACATTTTGTCTAGGCAAAGTCCACACGGCATGGGCGGGGGTGAGATTCTACAAAATTGTGGTGTCCTACATATCAGGTGAGAGAGCAAACAACCCGCACAAGAGAATGAGAGATCCAGCAGTGAAGGTTCTGGAACAAAGAGGGCACGTCTATAAACAGATAAACCTGACAGAGAAAACCACACATGTATTAATGCAGTGGTGAGTTGTAGCTCTTCGACCTAGTTTCACTTTACAAAAACACCTACTTAAGCACACAACCTGGATTAGGACATTAGTCTTTGAGCCAACTCGATAATTAGACCTGCGTACAGTTCATAAAGAAGCTGTCTGACTGAAGTCTTTGCAGTTCTTTTTTTAACCACATATCCAAATCTAACATTAAAGGTTGGCCAATATATATAATATTATATATTATTTTGTTGGCAATATAAAATATAAATCATTATCATAAAATAGGATGAGCTATAGCCACAAAAATTTACCTGGGTTCTTTATGCTTTTTCTCCTTCACCACATCATCTATTCTCATGTTTAATGACATGATTTTACCAACGTCAAAAAGTCATATTTAGTAGACCACAGTAAAGACACACATCAAGGGACATTCAACGAGTCAACCAGCACTAGGTAGAATGAAAGTAATGACTTTACAGATTATTGGAAATAATCCAAATTTATTTTTTATTGTTTCTAGAATACAGATTTGCATTATAATTAAACCTTCAAAGGAGAGCATGCTATTAGATGATGAGAAGAGAATGATAGCAATATAGCAATAACACTTCATCTTAATCTCAAACATAAAACCGATATGAATAATCTATAGTGACAGGATGACTCAGTATAGGAAGTGAGCACACAGAGATTAGCACAAACATCGTTCTCCTGCAACACAAGAGACAGAGAGTGAGTTAAAGATAGTGCGGTAGAAATAGAATAACAAAAACCTTTTTAGCATTCAGTGAAGGCATACAGTGACCAGGTGCCATGAAGCTCCAAAAAGGCCACTAGTTCATATGATTTGTGCACTATATTATTTAGTACAATAATATTATTATTTTATGGTGCATTAATAGAACACTGGTGGTACATTATAGTCCTTGCAAAAATGTAACAGTCTTTGTCAAATAACTTAATGTTTTGCAGAATAAAGAAAGTGATATGGTCAAAGTCATTCATTTGTGAGTGAACTATTCCTCTAATAGAAAAAACAAACAAATCATCAACAACAAGCCATTGCATCGCAAGCCAAGCATTTTTCTGTCAGATCTGTGCCAGGGTTGGGGGCAAATATAATGCACATTAAAACCCAAAAATGCACTGTAGCTTAAAAACAATCTAAGAACATTTACACATGTGCATTTGCTTTAAGTGCTTCAAGCTAACGGCATGCCATTCGAGCATTTTATAGATAGCTCTTTGATGTTTTGTGAGCAATGGAGAAGCCTGTGGCCTGATTGGCTAATAAACACAGTTTAACTTGCCATTACATTTATGAGTGGCAAAAGTTCCCCTGAAGCCACAGCAGCAGTGAGGAAGAGGACCTCCTCCTGAGCCAGCGACTGGCAGACTATGGCTGATGAGATTTTAATAAGGCACTCTGGCCTGAAGGGACTCTTTAACCTCAATAACGAGGTTCATGTCCCTTCAGGATGAATCCTAATGCACTGGTAAAGCTGTGATTCGGTAGCGTTTGATGAAATTGCATCTACCTCCTGGCACTCACATGCGTGTAAATTTGCTGTGTTAGCTTCATAAAGGCCAACAGTCGTTCATCTGAACAAGATTTGATTTACTTTACCTCAACAGCAAAGATCAACATATTTTAATGTGCAGTGATTTCTTGGCTTGCAGTGGCAAATCTGTCAAATCAAAGATGCTTGACTAATTGGACAATGCATGGACCTGCACCCATTTTGTGTCTTTTATATTGTACCCTGTGAAAAAGACCAAAAATCATAAATATCCAAAAAGGGTTTATATATTGTAAGCAAATTTAAATAGACAATTCCATCTTATTGGAGGTTCTGCTTTTGTGTCCCATGAAATAAAAATGATCACAGAACTATATATTCTTTAAGATTTTCAAAATACAATTAAATAAACTATTCTGACAAAAAAATATAAAAATCATCAACAGGCCACAGCTGGAATGGATAGTGAAGACAAATGTGCAAGTCCAAAGTACAGCCATGTTAAACTTGATGAGCGGGACACCAGCGAACATGCACAGCCTATAAAAATGCAGAAATCTGACAAGCGAAAAACACGTGAAGCACTGCAGCAAAATCAGAATCACTGAAGTGTTATAAACCATCCATCAAGTTGGCTGTTGGGAAACATGCAAGCTCCATTTGGAGATTAGGCTAGATGCAGTGGCTGCAATAAAACATCTCTCTGGAGGCCTGAACTCTAACATGACCTAATGAACGAGAGAAAGCGGGACAAAGAGATACAGAAAGAGAGCAACTCATTTATGAGAAATGACTCAGATGGTTTAGCGTTGGCTGCTGGGCGGGCCCTTTACCAACCAGCCCATAGTTCTTACATCAGTATGACGTAATCATCGTCAGGATGGAAAAAGCTCATTCATTAAGGTTGCCTAAAGAATTCAGTTAATCAAAATGATTCATATTTTTGGCCAGTTCTGTCATGTCTGCACCAGAGTATGTGAGCGGAGCGGAGCGAGTAGTGGAGCGGTGTGATTTTGAATGGAGCGAGAAGCGGATTTTTTTAAAAGTCGGAGCGTCGTAGTTTTCACTTGCTCCAAGAGCGCTCCACTGCCGCTCCATCGCGAGCACAATTCATGCCAACGGACCACTCAAATCAGAAAGAATGTGAAGGTTATGATGACGGCAATGGACATGAGTGGGAAGTTAGTTCTCAAGGACTTTGTTTGTTCCTTCTAGATACTGAATATTTTTGGGGGAAAGCGTGATTTAAACACTTATTCATTATATATACGTTGCAACACTTATTCACACGCAATGCTCTCAATAATGCATTCAAACAAATGTAATCTTACAGTGCTTCTTCATCTGTATCTGATTTCGAATTAGTAGAAATCTGTAAGAAATACAGCAATCCGTAGATAAAATAACGGACTAAAACGTACTTATTTTCATCCTTCACAAACAAAATTTGCACTGCAAAAAGCAGCAATGATAGCCATCTTTAAATGCTGACAACCATGTAATAAGCTTGGCATGTGGTAGGAAAAAGTGTGCACGCTAGTGTTACAATAAGCCACTTTGAAAGTACTCTCCTAGTATTTTTTTTCTTTTAATACATGTTATGAACAGAACTTCTGTGATATTTCAAAACATACTGAAATACTTTAATTAGCTGTAAACTTCCTCAGGGAGCGAAGATGGAGCGGTGTTTCTGATATCAGTGAGCGAGGAGTGGGAAATGGTGAACCCGGAGCGGAGCGATTATTGAATGCTTGGAGAGCGGAGGGGAAATTGTTGCTGCTCCACTCCGCTCACATACTCTGGTTTGCACTTCTGTAATGCAGCTAGCATCCAATGTAGGACTCACACACATCTTTCACTGCTTTTGACATTTTTGCCACTCCGTTTGGTGCCACTAGTAGCAACTGCAATAGATTTTATTTAAAGCTTGAGGTGGCAAACATGCACCATTAATGCCAAAGGTATGTTTTATTTATTTAAAATCCAGTAGGTTCAGCAGATGCAGAATTCCCTGCAGTGCAATCTCTACTGCTCTAGGCAGGACACACACATGGTTGGATGCTTATATGCACACTACACTCTTCACATGCACACAAATGTGAAGAAAAATATGCCACACCCAAAACGGAGTCATATATTACTGGACTGTGAAGCAAATGTTAAATTAATATTAAGGTATTGATATTAATATTAAGACAACAGTTTGTTATGCTGCTCAGCTGTACAAATTTTGACCGAAGTAGCATTAAATATTTGTCAGATCGAAGATACCCAGTGGGTCAAAATAACAAGGAAAATACAAACTCATGTCTGCACTAATTGGATGACAAGAGGCCTTTTCGCTGCTGTTTAGTGTTTGAGCTTTAAGTCATAATGAAGCAGAAGCAGAAAACAAAGGCTCAGGGTGGATTCCCTAGATTATCTTTCCTAAACCCAGTGCTTGAATATACTGCAGTACTAATAGTGTCTAATGTGTTTCTTTTTCCAAGAAGTGTGTGGTGTCGTCTGTGTGCGGGATAGCAGCATTCCTAAACACCATTAATCATGAAATAAACTTCCTGTTCAGCTGTATGACGTGGGAGGAGAGTTTGGACTTTTCTAACAGGAACTGAATAACATCAAATTCTTCTTCTTCTTTTTTTTTTCTTTGTCTATTTGTCTTTTGTTGGGTTTGCCAGGTTATTCTTAAAGTTTTTTTTTTTTATTGTTACCAAGTAAAGCAGCACTTAATTACAGAGCTTCTTGGAACAAGAACCTAAAACATCCAGAAAGAACTTTGACAGACCCACCTTTGTCCATTTTACTTTCTTTAAGAGCACTGGAAGAAACATACTGTACTTTTAAGAGAAGCTAAAGGAAAGAAGGTAATCAATGTCTGTCAAAATCTAAAGAGATAAGCAAAAATGTATGGTTGTGGGACCAAATATCACATTACAAATGTTCACAAAGTCATACAAACATTTCTCCCCTACCCTCACATAAGTCTGAGCTCCTTTACAGGCCTCATGATGTCCCTCATCACCTCTATAAACAAGCAACAAAAAAAACTCCTTCACTGTTCATGGCTGACTGCAGGCAACTCAAATCAGCTCCTGTGAGTTCTATGTTGTGATTCCCAACGTGACTCAGATTGTCTCCCTGCACGATAACCATACTAACATCTTTCTGCATCTATCCAGGATATCTGGAAAGCTGCATCATATCAGCATCTCACCGTGTGAAACTACTGCGGGGGCTGTTGAGACTGTTGGTCTGCTTGTGGAGACTTTCTAAACTCCCTCACAATGGGGAAAGTACAAACTTTTCCCAGTTGAAGAGAGTCTTAAACTCACTGGGGAGAGTCTAAACTCTCTCCCATTGGGAAGAGAGTTCCTCTTCACATTTTTTTGCCAGTTCATTTCCCAGCAAATGAAATGCTTTCCCTTTCAGACTTAGAATTGATGCCTAATGCTTTAAGTATTTAGTGAATGAGGAGTAGTGATTGTCTATGAGAGACATGGACTGCAACGTGAGGCTGTATAAGCAATGCATTAAGGACATCGGAAAAGAATGAGCTACTGAAATGGCCCACATTGCAGAATTCTCATTAACATACCCAGTCTGGGAGCTTCTGTTTGTGACATTCCCACCCAATGAGCTGCTCACCTGGTTGTCTTGGCGACAGGTGGCCTATCAGGTTTGGGAGAGCCAGTGATACTGGTCTTAGTGGTGGACGCAGTGGCGGGTCTTGGAGCTGGAGCTGGAGTGAAGGATGATGTGAAGGGTTTTTAAGAGCATTAAAACAAGAAGACAAATACAGACAGTTAATCTGAAAGTTTGATAATATGCTACATCCGAATTTCTCTCCTGAAAATGACACTAAAATATAGCCTATATCAGGGGTCTGCTGATGCTGGAGAGCTACTGTCCTGCAGAGTTCAGCTCCACCCCCAATCTAACACACCTGATACAGCTAATCAAAGTGCTCAGGGTTACTTTAAAAATACAGGCAGGTGTGTTGGAAAAGGGTTTGAAGTCTAAAGGAATTGGGAGACCCTGGCCTACATTGAACTAATGCTGGGGGGCACTTCTTGAATGTGGTTGGGAACCACTGCTGTAATCAATAAGCTCAGATTATACTTTTGACTTACCTGTAGTTTTTGGTTTAGACTTCAGACCATTAGCTGGTGCAGCAGGGGCTTTCTTGATGAGCTGTGCTGCCCCTGTTGTCTTCACACCATTGGCTGGAGCACTGGCAGGTCTCGCCATCCCCACAGACTTTTTCTCAGCCACCTTGTTTGTGGTCTTGGTTGTGGGTGCAGGAGTAGAGCTGACTGTTTTTTTAGTGGCAGCAGTGGTTGAGGTTTTCTTCTCCAGGCCTGCTGTGATGGTCTTTTTGGTGACGCCATTAGCTTGCGACTTCTGTGCCCCGTTTATCAGACGACCTTGGCCAGTGGTGGGACGGGAGCCGGTTGTAGATGTCTTGGTTCCAGAGGTGGGTGTCTTTGTTTTTGCAGGAGCCTTCGTCTTAGCTTTTGGATCCCCAGACTTGTCCTTTCCAGTCTTGTTGGTTGCCTCTGTTTGCTGTGGTTCACCTTCTGTTTGCGTTGCAGGCAAAGCCTGGTCCTGAGCTTCGCCCACTGGCGCCACTTCGACCGCAGGACCTGCATTTAATGCTTCCATTGGCTCCATTGTTGCCGTGTCAACACCATCCGGTTTCATCTTGTCCTAGTCCTGGAGGTCCGTCTCAACAGAAGAGGAATCAGGAATCCAGGACTCAGTCCACTAATTGGAGTCTATTGCTATCAGATGGCTATGGTTGACCTGAAAACAAGAGCAACAAGAGTTGTAGTCTGATCCGAGACTTCAGACAATAAACAAACAACAAGTATGAACAAGAGAGAAGTCTGTACCCCCTCTCACTGGCAGACAGACCTAAGAGAACAATCAGATAAAGAATCAGGTCTGATTAACATACAAACGCTAAGAGAAACTGCTTAAGAATGAGATTAGGATTGAAGTAAAAAGCGTGCTGTGCAGAGGGAAAACAACAGCTGATTCAGAGTTCAGAGCTTGTGGATCTGTTTAAACTGTAACCAAAATGAACTAAAGCCACATAAGAAGCAGTTGCCAGCTAATAGGAGTGGTGGTTGGTGTAAGATTACAGCTGTCACTAATACAGTTTTACGGATTCAAATGCAGTTTTACACTTGGAAAGGCATCTATCATAAGATTATTTTGGTGCTAATTCATGTGTAAAAAATTCTCTGGGTTTTCAAAACCCTTTGGGGGAATTCCTAATTGCTAACTACTAGCAAAGCAGCAACGCCAGATGCATTACCCACAATGCTTTACTAAAGCAGATGTCGTTTGCATGATTTAAGAGCAGCAGCTCCAAAGCAAAGTTCATACAGTGGAAGAGGCCAAAGAGAGGAAGTGGCTTGGCTCAAGGAAGCATGGGAAAAAAAACAATGGAGTAAGTCAACAAACACTGAAAATGCTCACTCATAAAGTGGACCTCAGTGTCACAGGACACTTCGTCCACATTATATTCCAGAGCTGCAGAATCTCCCTGATTCTTTCTGAGGTCGACATTCATTCCTCCACCCTCGGACTCATTCTGCCCATTACAAAATCTCCTCAGTTACTCCTCACACAGATGGTCCAGGCAGCTGAGCATCCCAAATTAGAGAAACTGGGGGGAGGGGGACAGAGAGAGTGATGGAAAAGAGAGAAAGCCAAGGGGAAAGAACCCATTCCATATATGCTGCCAGATATGAGAAAATAGAGATGAGAAGATATATTGTCTTGACAGCGATCAATCTATGGCCATTGGTTGCTGATAGGAATTATGCACTTGAGAACATTAACAATGACCACATTGACTTGCAAACAACTGTACCCATGGCAAATGAGCAATAGTATTTGTGCCAAATGGGGGAACTCTGGACATTAGGGTTTTTTCAGACCTGCAGATCATTTGCTCCGTTCCGAAACAGGGACTTCAACTGTTACAACTGTTTAATTGTTTCTTCTTGGTTCAATTCAGTTTTTAACTATGATAAATAACGTTTTTATGTAACACATCCCCATTATGAATTATGATACAGCTTGGTTCGTTGGTCTTTTGTGTGGGATTGCTTTTTCACCCCAACTGAACCAGTCATTTTCAATCAGGCTGAGACACCTTATTCAGGTGATCTCGGACTGATTATTTTGTGAGGATTCAAGTGCAATTGCCATGTTTATATGTGCCTAAATGAACCAAACTAAGAGAGAAAATGTGCCAATATCTGAAACAAACTAGCCAGATGTGAAAACGTTCTTAGAGAAGGAAGAATCTGAGCCGCTCAAGACAACAAGTTACACACTCTGGGACAAGATACCTGCTTAGTTTTATATTATGCAGTCATAAAAATGAATAATACTGTCAGATTAAATAACGTACTAGTTAGTAATGAAGACTATCAAAGATTTTAAGTCTTTTAGACAAACACAACCACATGCAACATCACTTCCACTTCAGAGACCTCAAGGGCTATTCTTTCTCTTATGAAAAACAACTCCTCTAGAAATACAGGCTTTGTTGTATCCGCTTTACCCCTCCTGACTCTTTTTTTTTCTTCTGCGATTGATCCTGTTTAGAATGATAGATGAAAATCAGCCTGTGAGAATGTCAGGTGGTGGAGAGCTGATGAGATTAAAAGGGTAAAATAGCCTTGTTCCGAGAAGAAAACACGCACACCGTCACAACGCCTTATGACCTTAATGATCCTACTGAGGGTTATAGACTGCTTCCTCTGCGTGTAAACAACAGTGACCCTGGAGGGTCAGAAGCCTATGGTGTCCATCTTATTCTGGGGGGAAGATCTGACCTCTGCTAACTTCTGATGACCTCTATTCTACAGAGTGGCTGATGTCAACAGGCAAGTATGAGAAAAAGCATATGAAAATTAAATAATCAAAGTTTGAGGCAAGTGGACAGGGGGAAATGCATTTACATATACATTTATCTGAAGCACCAACTAGAGATATTTCTACAGCCATAGCTTTATTTTTTATGATATAGAATAACCTTATTTTATGTTAACAAATCATATTTCTTTAATTATCCCTCATTAAGTCTTGTTTTTATTGAAAAACATACAGTTCCTGCAACCTCTGGATCACAAAATTAACTGGCTAATTTAGGTTATTTAATATAACATGTCAATATTCCCAGTTTGTGTTTGAAAAACACCAGTTTTGTCATAATTACAGCAGAAATACTAAAAATGTCTAAATTAATTTGAGAACTACTGCTTTAGGAAACCTAATGGCTAAATAAAAAAGTGCAACAAAATCAAGGTGATATTCAAAATGTCACCTAATATTGTACACATATATATATATATATATATAGCCTTAGTGAGCACAAGAAACCAGAAAAGGTAGGTGTGGAGGCTTTGTGACCTTACAAACATAAGACCCATCATACCTACAAACCCTCTTACCAGCAAACCCTCTTACTGGCACTCCGTCACTCTCAGGGACGAACCTGCATATGCCTAATGCCTCATCCAATTATTGTAACCAATCCCGGTGGAGGAGCCAAATGCTCCTGAAGGGATGACTCTGCGAAGCGCTCATCCTCCAAAGACCCACATATGATGTAAACAAATACTGCAGACACGCTGCACACCTTCTAGAGGCAGCATTTTGGCAAGTCTCCAGCGATGGTGCATCAGTCTTTAAATTGTCCCGTCGCAGAACCTCAGATCACCCCCATGCTAATGGGGTCATTGTAACAGCAAAATGCACTTTGGCCTCTTTATCCGAAGTGCAAGCACAACAAGGCCTTGTGCATGCATGCATGCATATCTAAGTGCTGCATTGTGCCTTAAAAAGCCCCCCATGTGCAAAGCTTCCTTCTCACAATCAGCTAACCACTGTGGCACAGCAGGTGCTAACAGGCTTATGCCATCTTAGCTTTAGCCAGTTGGGGCCAAACCGACATGTCTAATAACTGGAGAACAAGAAAAAACAAACAAACCAGCAAACTGCATCTTAATGGCTCACTATAAGAAATCGTTTTTTCCCTCCAAATTACAATCAATGGAGAGACTGTGCCAGGATGAAGTGCAAATTTGCACACCACAGAGATGCTGCATGAATCTCATGGCTTCTCCCAGGCCATTTGCATACACTAGGGACGCCGTTGTTGGCCTCTTATTTGGCGTTTGGTCAGAGTACGGACTAATCAGCAGTAATTTGTCACTGTTTAGGCTTTCACATATTAAGTCTGTCTTGCCAATACCCCATTGTGCCTCCACAGAGATAATGCACACTCAAAAAATATTTATTAAACATATTTTTTTAATGTGTGTCTGACATATGCATCATATTAAGTTTACTCGTTTGTTTATTTTTTATTCTGTAATAAAAATGAAATTTTAAATGCAATTCAAATACATAAATCTTAAAATTCTGACCTAAATATATTGAGTGCAGCATCTTTATACACCCTTCCAAACCCCCCTTTTGCTTGAACCCTCCGGATGTTGCAGAAGTTTCCCTCCACCCCCGTCTCTCACTCTAAAACAAGGGAACACTGGATCTATTCAGAGGCGACCACCACCACAAAGGGCCACCGGGACTCAGTTTGCTGGTTGAGGAAGAAACACACTACTGTGCTGCTTTGAAGGGTAAAAGGTCAATGAGTTTGAGAGAGAAAGGGCAATCAAATTCATCAGGTACCTGATTCTGAACCCTAAGAATAAAGCAAGAATAAACCTCACCTCAGGTCCATAAGCTAATAAAATCCATTAAAAACCACAGCAGTGAGGAACCGAATACAACTATAAATTGATTTGCAGGGCACATTAGTGGTGAATGTCAAATGTATTTTGATGATAAATTCTATTTAAATTGATAGCTTTGCTCACTGCGAGTTATTTAAGGGTCTTTTGTTTCCTCTGAAGAATGCGAGCAAGTCTTTTTTATAAATTTGAATCTTTACTAACATTCTTCCTCCATTTTTTTTATTTTATTGTCTTACGTATCCCAGGCTAAATTTAAGAATTAAATGCTTTTGCCTGTTGTGTCTTGCCTTAAAAACTGTAAAAGTTGTGTTTGTTGCAATATCAGTAACAATGCAGTCTACAGTACAAAATTAATCACAAAAATGTACTTCAAACTCTCTATTCATCATATAATGCCTTCTCTACAGCAGTGCACGCAAAAGACTGTCTGAAGGTGTGACTGGGGTCTGCGTCACAGAACCGCTTTCATGAGTCCATGAATAGCCCATTGGCTGTTGGTGTCAATAACACAAACAAAATTACATAATAGCACTCAACAGTGGACAGCGTCTTAGACGCATCTGTGTGGAGATACTGGTCCCCTCTCTATCTACTGATCACATGACTCTGAACGGCCCATTATACAGAACACACACGCCGAGATGAAGTCGAATGGCCTGAGGCGCATTGCAATGAAACAAGTCACCAAAGAAGGGATTGTTGGGGTGGCGGCCCTCGCGGAGGAGTGAAAAGAGGATAGACACACATGGAGGCACATGACAGGACCGCTGCTGTCCAAGCTGACAAAAGCCACTTTAGTGCCCCTGCTGTCGAGATTGCGATCATGGCCAGCGCATTCACAAAACACCCTTCGCCAAAGGTCGGGAAGCTGCTCTGTCCAACTCACAAAAACAAACAGGTCGGCCTATTCTACAGAACAATCCATAGGGGACACAATCGGAACGAGGAAAGGAAGGTAGTGACGTCAGGCTGTAAGAAACCGCTTTGAGACCATTACCCTCAGAATGGAAACAAAACCAGTGGTAAACTGAGACTAAACTAGTTGTGATTGAAGAATTTTTTTTTCTGCCCGAGGCACCAACAGCTTGTGTGGCAGATGCCTGGACAGCATCCAGAGGTGAAAAGGAGGTAATCCTTGTACTGTAAGGAAGATTTACATAAGTTTTCTGGAACATATGCTACTTCAGGGCATGAGACACTCGACAACTCTCTGGGATAAAAAAGATAAGTGACCTACACAAGACCGCTTAGAGACCATTTTCACCGGATACATACTTGTGTTCTGTCTTATGGTGAAAGGAAAAGCTACTGCGCTTTCATGCAAAAAGTTTGCCTTCCCCCAAAAAAATTTGTGTTCATTCACAAAAATGTTGCCTTACCCCCAAAAAACATTGAGCTCTCTTGCAATGCTTTTGCTTTCCCCTAAGAAACTTTGCGCTCTTTTGCAAAACATTTGCCCACCCCAATAAAATGTTACATCCGCTTGCAAATCTTTTGACTTCCCCCAAGAAACTTTGCCCTCCCTCACAAAACTTTTTGCATTGTCTTTCAAAACTTTCACCTTCCCCCCAAGAAACTTTGTTTTCATTCAGTAAGCGTTTGCCTTCCCCAAGAAACTCTGTTCACTCACAAAAATTTTGCCTTGCCCCAAGAAACTTTGCACTATCTTGCAAAATGTTTGCCTTCTCCCAAGGGAACTCCCTTTTTTGCCATCTAACCACAAAATATATAGCGCAGTACTGAAAGTCATTGACATGTTAGTGTAATAAAGAAACATGCACAAATGACCAACTAAAGTTTAAGCACAAAAAGCTAATAAATTTGGAAATAAACAAACATAAACAATCTTTCTGCAGTTTTTTTGTCTAATGTATGACTAGGTCTGCTCCAGCACATCTGTCTGTAATTATTGAGTTCTTCTGAAGACCTTTATAAGCTGGTTCAGGTGTGTTTGATCAGAGCTTGATCTGAACTTTGCAGGAAGATAGATATCCAAGAGCAGAATTGGGCATCCCCGGTCTAGTGGTTTGTGAACACAAGAGCACAGCCGGTGTAAACGGCCCCTAAAACAGCACCATAATTTGCTTAAATGCAATAAAGCAGTGTCAGAGTAGGGTTGCATGACTGAAAGAGCTGGTACCAGCACCTCTGTTCACTCATTGAACAGCAGCAGGAAACATCAAACCATCGGCAGACCAACACGGTCCCCTGGGGACAGGGAGATTAACACATGACAGAGCTTGTTAACTCGGGACAAAGTATGATGCTAATCCTTTGCGATCCTCCGACGGACACCCACAGAACGGGATGCACACAGGACACGGGCCAGATATAGGCACCAGCCAGCATGCCATGCCACCTGGCCAAGAGAGTAAGAGGAGAAATGGTGAGACGAGATGAGATAAGATGGATATTGATCATTGAGAGAAAGTGCAGGGGTCGCAGCACAGATGGGAGAGTTGAACAGTGCATTAGCAGAGCATGTGGGCCCACTGAAATTGGTAGGTTTTGGGTGTAAAGGGGCCTTTTAACTAATTTGTAATTCAAGGAGCTGCTTGAATTACTATTATCTTTTATCTACTGGGAGCACAAAAAAGCTAAAAAGCCAAATTACATAGGAGCTGATAAAAACCAGCTGGTGGGGTTCGATCAATGACATCTGATAGTGTGTGTTTGTTTGTGACAGCATGGCCACAAATGTCATCTGCAGCAGACAAAAGTTTTTTTCTTTAGGAAATATCAAAATCTAGTTTATTTTTACTTCCATTGGGAGTTTGGATGCATCATAAATTGCTGACAAACTGCAGATTTTATGAACACCTTGAGGTTGATGCGGAGAGAAAATTTGTAAGTTGGCATTGTTCACTGCATGGAGGCCTGCGGCATCAAGACACCTAGTTTTCAGGACAGATTATTTTAATATGGAATTCAGACACTGCAGGGATTCTTACATAGGGTTGCTAAAAGGTGGACAATTTTCAATAATTCAGAAATTTTTTTTGAATATTCCAGGGATTTTTGGAAAGTTTCCGGAAATCTTCCACCCCTTTGCAACCCTATTCTTACAGCATGTGAACTTTAACCTTTATAAAAACATCAGGTCAATACATCCATCAGTAAACCGCAGCACCCAAATGCAATCTGTGATACCCTCACAGACACCATTCACTGAGTGACATCTGCCAAGACTGGAACAAAGGATACTCAACCAAAATGCACCAAGAAAGGACTGCATGCCTGCTCTGATAAAATGTTGCTCCAGACGGAGATTAACACAGCAATAGTGCTACAACTGCACAGCAGACATGTTTACAGAAAGCAGAAGCGTAACCACAAAACACTCTCCACTAAAAGGTGGACAATTTTCAATAATTCAGAAATTTTGGAAATTTTCTAGGATTTTTTTTGAATATTCCAGGGATTTTTGGAAAGTTTCCGGAAATCTTCCACCCCTTTGCAACCCTATTCTTACAGCATGTGAACTTTAACCTTTATAAAAACATCAGGTCAATACATCCATCAGTAAACCGCAGCACCCAAATGCAATCTGTGATACCCTCACAGACACCATTCACTGAGTGACATCTGCCAAGACTGGAACAAAGGATACTCAACCAAAATGCACCAAGAAAGGACTGCATGCCTGCTCTGATAAAATGTTGCTCCAGACGGAGATTAACACAGCAATAGTGCTACAACTGCACAGCAGACATGTTTACAGAAAGCAGAAGCGTAACCACAAAACACTCTCCAAAAAAAGAACTCAGAACGCAACAAACCCTTCAAATGACCACAACTGCAACACAATATCCCATTCTAACAGAGCCAACTGTCCACTACGACAACTGCTCAGCCCCTAGGGTGCTATCTTTACTGGAGGAGGGAGCGCTTCATTATGAGAGAATTATCAGAAAATGACAGATGACACAGGGAAACCACTGTAACTGCATCTTGGGACAACAACAAGTGTTCACTGCACTTTTTAAAAATTAAGGTTCAAAATGGGGGGTTTTGTAGCGATGCAACAGAGGAAGTGTCAAGAACATTTTAAAAATCTAAAGAAACTTTTTTCACTATAAATAATTTTTTGTCCAATGAAAAGGATCCATGGATGATAAAGGTTCGTCATGGAACCATTGATGCCAATAAAGAAGCTTTATTTTTAAGAGAGTACAGCGAGCAAGCAAATGTTAGTGGGCCAAATAATGCAAAGTCACATTCACTTATGTCACTTCAGATAATCATAAACAAGAATCTGACCTTTCTGATGTCATTTGCTGTGATTTCTTCTCTAGCGAGTCCCACCCCCATTCCTCATACAGTCACTACCCATCATGCCATGACACATTTGTAATTGCTGGCAATGCCTCCCTCCAAGAGCCTAATCCCTGTAGGCTGGAGTTAGACAGCCACAGCATTGTATCAGGATCATGAATATGAACAATGAAAGTCAAACAAAAATGGATCTGAAATAATTAGAGAGATTTGTTTGCTATAAATTTTAGCAGTGACTCGCATATTCTGAATTTATATACACCGACAGCTTAAAATAGTCTGTATTACTAAAATGATCTCTCATTTAGACATATATATATATATAACTAATATTTAATTCGTCCCATAATAATACACAAAATACCAAACAAAAGCAGAAGAGATAGACCTGAAGAACCCTCATTGGAGCGGTGAGATGGTGGCCGCAGATGGTTGAGGCATCCGTCTTAAACCTTTTGTTTGCCGAGAAGAGAGAAGGGAACTATTAAGCAAGACTGCAAGCATGAACTGACTTACAGAGCCAAGATTTAGCAGCAGGAAAAGCCAAACCAAGCCGCACCTGCTTGGAAACGCATAATTTTGACTCGAGTTGTGCATGCAGGGAGCAAAGCCAAGAAACCACCCTGTTGATTTGCATTGTTCCTAAACCACGACTTTTTTTATGAGGAGAAACATCAATACTTCACAGTACACCATTGAATGATATCGAGCTGCTGGTTGTTACCTGGTCTGTATCTCTCAGAAATGGACAGGGTTTGGACAGATAAACTGCACCAGCGGGCGTGTATTTTGGCAGGTTGGGTCGTTTAATTAATTCCTGCAGTAGCCTATTATTATGAGGTCTGATACACATTCTAATTCGGTAAAAAAAAAAAAAAAACACAGATAATCATATATATATTCGTTTTTAAATATATAAAATGAGTAGGGGACTGTATTTTATATTACATTATGATATTTGGCCAATACGATCCAGTACAATATAGACTACACATAGCCTACCGGCAAATTCAGTCACTGTAATACATTGTATTTGGACCGCGGCGGGTTTTATATTATACGCCTATAGACCGGGTCGATACTGAATGGGCCGAAAGGGTTAATATATTATAGGAACCGGGCGGCTGAATATATTGAATGTGGGGCGGCCGGGCGGGTGGAGGAGGCGCAGAACAAAAGACTCGAGCGAACGGACTAGTGGAAAGTTGCACTGCTGCGAAACACACAAAACACACAACATGTAGAAAAACGGTATTATAATTTCTTCTCTTTCATCTGTCAGTGCAATATGTTTTCTGAACGACTGTCCGAGATTAAATTCGGTCACAGTTACGAGTGGGTTTGCCGTCACCGCCCAGACATCCACCATTGAAACGGACACAAAGGATGAACAAGGCAACACGGAATAAAAAGAGACAATCTAAGCCGGTTAACAAGTAGTAAAAACGCTAAACTAACTAAACCGGTTGCGTGTGGTAGATTTAAGGCTATAGGCTAAATCAAACCGGTGTGAAACCTGATCGCTTCAGTGGCATTTTATCTGATCTCATTTATTCCGCTGGTACTTCTATTATAATGACCGGGGTTAACTCATAAATATTCATTTACATATCAATGCATGCAGTCGTAAATCATGCTGTTGAATGAAAACCATTTCTTAAACTGACACTGACATTAATTCTTTAGTTTAATTAGTTGTGACACAGTGAAAAACGCTTTTAATGAATCGCTGGTTCTTTTTAGGATCGGCACTCAGATAATCTTACCAATTCTATAGCGCTTTTCCTCCAGCAACGCCCAGCCGGTACTCGCGTCTCCTCCCGTTTTTCCCCAAGCGGAACCCGGCGGGCAGCACTGTGAATCGAGAAAACCCGGCAACAAATGTTAAAAGTAATAAAATAAAAACAGGTAGACTGGAGCTCTGACGGAGGCTGTTTGGAGCAGACTGACTGTCTACCGGGGATAAAAGAGATGCGTGTCTCCTGGCAGCAGAGAATGAAACGACGCTCGGCGATCCGCGCACGCACGCGAGAGGGAGCGTTGAAAAAGATGAAAAGCGCGAGCGGCTTCGGTTTCTCCCGCCCGTGACCAATCAGCTCTCAGACAGAGGTTTATGCAAATGAGGGATGATGTCATCGCACAGGCTCCCCCCGCGTCCTTTCTTTACGCGCCGTCGCTCTTCTTTTCTGTCGCCTCGGACCCCATCCCCTGCCCCCATGTGCCCACCCCCCACGCCCGCGTTCCCGCCGTTTCTTTTCACTTTCATTTGTGCACACAAGAGAGCAAGAAACACAGGCAGGGCTAACTAAAACTTAAATACTCAACATTTTTGTTTCTTGAAATAAACTTAACTGAAATAATGAAAATATTACAAAAAGCAAACGTATTTCACTTGGTTGACAGGCAACATTTCAAATTTTCGTTTAGTTTAAGTTGAAGTATTCAAATTATTACAATTAAAACTAAAATACAAATTAATAAAACGTATCATGACATATTAAAACAATAAAAATGACAAAAACATACCAAATATATTAAAGGGGTCATATGACGCGATTTCAATTTTCCCTTTCTCTTTGGAGTGTTACAACCCAGCATGCAATAGCCATCATTTCAACGTCTCGGTTAAGTATAGACCCGATATAGTCCGGCTATGTGTAACCCACGTCTAGCCCAAATAACCTTGAATTTGGTTTCATGTCGTTTTTTGGCAAAATAACTTGTGAGATGTATGATATTCCATCATGTAAGCAAAGTCAACGGCGTTTACAAGGTGTTTGGTTTCATTTCTTTGACATGTTCAATACTTAGCCTGTGCGTAGCCACGATTTAGCTCGTAGTCAGAGCGGCTATCTGTAGCCCACTTATAGTCAAACCTGATTCACTGTAGCTTTTGGCCAGGCAGCGCATGAGATGGTTGATATCCCATCATGTTTGCAGTGTCAATAATATCTACAAAGATATAAGTGTCATTTCATGGCATGGTCTATATGTAGCCACGATTTCGCTCTAAATTGGACGGGCTACGTGTAGTCTGCTTTTAGCCCACCTGGCGAAATCGAGGCAAACTGTGGTCTAATTTTAATGGCTTGGCTATAGCCCTATACCAGTAACCAGACCAGCGATGAGCATAGCCAAAATAGCCTTAAAATTGTTTACATGTAATTTTCGCCAACGCAGCTTCTTTTCAAATGCAAGTAAACTTTTGAATAATTTCAATTAGCATTATTTAATATTTAATTATTTTACAGCATTATTAAATATAGCATTATTTATTATGCCAAAAATAATGCTAATTTAAATGTTTCAAAAGTTTACTTGCATTTGATAATATGATGTCATGCATCCCACAAGCTGTTAAATGTTACATTCATACACATTATATGATATTATTGATATACTGGCAACGCGAGACATGAGAGTTAGTAGAGATCAGTGTTGTGTTTTGGATTTTTTTTACACGAGAGCGCACTGAGTTTACTTGTCGGAGAGCAGCGGGCAAACAACAAACGATAAAGGACAAAATAATGTTCTTTTTTAGCAGCATCATATGACCCCTTTAAAACTTTTAAAAATTTAATTGAAAACAAATACACATTAAATAATGTAAAATATTACTAAAAATATGAAACTATATTATAAAATTATGAAAACTGTAATAGTATGTGAATGACACTAAAATAGCACTGAGTTTAGCAGACAACTGGTTTTACTGCAGGACACGGATTACACCTTGTATATAATATGGTGACCAGTGCAAAATTTGGCCCAGCTATATTCAGAATTATTTAAAAGACATAAGCTATATAGAAAACTGACAACTAATCTATTTTGGCAGCATTTTCGCCTCCTCTTTAAAAGCTGACACACCTGTTTCCTTTGCTTACATGACTATGTATGATAATATTGTTAACCACATTTTATTATTAACACTTGAAAAAAAAAAATTCTGCTCTCTTTAAACAATATTTTCGATTTGCAACCCACCAGTTGAGAACCACATACCAATACAGATAATATTTTAAACCTCAACAGGATTGGGGGTGAAATAGTAAATCAAACTTTTTTTGCATTCAGAGGTGTATTTAAACACGAAGGACATTTTGGATCAGATTTTAGACAGATTTATTTGGCTTACAGCTTAAAGACACCTGTGAGCACATTAAATTGCTCCATATAGTGGACGGTTTGCATGCATGTTCATAAGCATGCAAGATACATATTTGTCCTATCTGCATGTGGTTTGGTAGCGTTTGCTTGTAAGCCTGTTCTCCCAGACATGCTGGAGAACCTTCTAGACTGCTGCTGCTCTCATACAAGTCTTTGTCTTCCTTTCTCTCCAGCGCTGTGGAGACGGTGGGACACAGGGTGGGCTTTCGACATGTCTGTCTGCCTCTCTGTCTCGCGAGCGCTCTCCTTTTCTGACAAACAAAGCTGCATGTAAATGTTCCTCTAGCAGACGCCCATGCATCTCTGAGCAGCAAAGCATACAAAAATCCTGTTGTATTTATTCTCTGCAGTTTCTACCATGAGTCTCTCTAATAGATCATGGTCGCACAGACCTGTCAGTATAAACCTGTTCTCTCACACTCATTTTTTCTCTCACTCAGTTGCATCGGCAACAATATCATTGCAATACTGAATAGAGAGGTCTACGGCAATTCCCACCCCTGGTACTGTATTAGCTCATGTTTTCTTACTTCTGTTTAATTTCCAGCCTCCTGATTTGAATACACTCACATGTCCATTTCAACAGGCTCCTGTACACACCTACATAGAAATATTACAGAATATTTATTGCGCAAACAGGTGCCAAGAACCAGGCTGGATTTATCGCAGATTGATAGAACCTTCGCTTCGCTTCGACTCAACTATGATATCATAGAGCTTTTGGAGTGGCGCGATGACCTCATGCCTAGCAACAGCAGAACGTCCAGGCAAAATAAAGGGTGACATTTTAGAGAGTCCAGACCTCTGAGCGCTCAAACGCGAGTGTGTTGGCTTACAGACGTTTTGACCCCCTTCAGGAGTGCACACAAAGGGAGGAAACATCCTGACCCCTGCGGTAGGGGACGGTGCCAAACCGGCAGGAAGGGGCAGGGCATTTGAACCGTCACTCACTTCCTATGCTATTTATCTGATTGTTTTTTCCCCAATGCCAGCAATCAGCCCTGTAGCTGGGCAAAACGGCTCAACAACACTGGCACTCGCACAAAACACAAGCCTGAGCTAGAAACATGACAGGAACAAACACTCCCAAAAAACAAAAACAGCCCAGATTCAGAAACTTCAGAGCAGAAGCTAAGAAGTAAAGCAGTAAAAGCCTATTTGTTTTCTACACAGATTAACTGACTTTGGCATATAAATAGTGTGATAACAAATAAACGTGTGTATTTCCTTCTGAAGTCACAGTCAGTTGTTTAATAGCCGAATCCTCATCAAATTCACAGCAAATGTATTACTTCAAATCAATCAATGACTGTGAATGCCTGTTCACACCAAGAATGATAACGATAACTACAACTATAAAGTTTGATTATTCTTTTTAATTCTAAAGCGGCCTTTGACCATGAGGTGAGAATTACCAGTATTTTTCCACTTTAATGTTATTCTGTAAATGTGAATTATGAATAATTATGACATAAATAATTATTTGATATTTATTTAATCATTATTTATGTTGAATAGCATGTAATAATATTTGTATTATTACAGTTTTCTGACTTGAGTTCACGTGTATTTTCTCAGTCGGGAAATTATTTTTCACGATGAAATTTGGGGGGTGGGCACATCGGGGCAGGGGATGGGGTCCGAGGCGATAGAAAAGAAGAGCGATGGCACGTAAAGAAAGGATGCGGGGTGGCCTGTGCGATGACATCATCCCTCATTTGTATAAATCTCAGTCTGAGAGCTGATTGGTCACGGGCGGGAGAAACCGAAGCCGCTCGCGCGATGATTATTTTACGATGATGCTTCTTACATCCGTTTCGGAGAACCAGAGGACAAATATTTTAATCGATCGCTC